TGTTCTTCGCCCGGCCACCATCGTTCCTCAAACCCCCATCACCTTGTTTCAAATTCTTGTCACCTTTACTCAAAACCGTCACGTAGGTGTAGCTGTTCGACTTATTCGACTTCGCCTCGCCCCAGTTGCCCCAGTCATCATCCTTTTTATCCTCTGCCTTGACCGATGCCGCTTTCCCCGATTGCCATCATTCCAATTCCCAACTTTGTCTCCCACCGGCATCGACCTTGCGCTCGCCGCCTTCTTGCTCTCCTCAGTCTTCTCCCCTCTGATCTTCCTCCTGATATACTCATCCATCAGATCCTGCTTCGTCATCGTCAACACCTTGGCTTTCAGATCCTGCGGGTCGTCTTCGATCCTGGTCCCGAATTTGTTCTCCAGGTGCTCGACGCTCCTGTACTTGAACCTGAAGATGGCGTACGGCGCGTCCATGCTGTCAATGTATTGCGGCTTAGCCGTTTCGTGGAAGAAATCCGCGCCAGGACCGATGCGGACCTGGCTTGAGACGGAATGGTGGACTGCGGTTCTGGAGATGGCGGGGTGGGCTCGGCGGGGTATTTGAAGGGGTTGCGGCGTGCTGAGGGAGATTCGGGGTCCGGTTCGGGCGGTTTGTTCCAGGAGGACCAGTAAGGCTTCATCTGGAAGGTGGCTTCGGTTTCGCCGGCGGTGCTTTTAGCTGCTCTGCTTGGGCGACGAACCTTGATAGAATGGGGTTTGTATGCCGGTTTTTGGTCATCGTTGCCCCAAGAGTCGTTCGCCTTGTTATCGTCGTTGCCCCAAGAGTTGTTGACGTTGTTGTCCTGCGGTTGTTTGTTGTCGGCACCCCAGCCGGTGTTCGCATTCTTGCCCGCATCATCGTTGGAACCCCAATTAGCGTTGTCATTGTTAGCATTGTTGTCCGCATTTCCGATTGTGCCCCAGCCACCGGCAGCATTACCGGACGCTTGTTGCTGATCGTATCCCCAACTGTTGTCGTTCTGGTTCGCGTTGTCGTGCTTGGGTTGCCAGTTGTTTCCGCCGGTATTGCCCGTGTCGTTGGCCCAGTTGTCGTTCTTCTGCTGCGAGCGGGAACGGTGATGAGAACGATTGTCTTTCTCAACATTAGTTCTTGCTCTCTCCTGGTTGTTCTTGTCATCGGCCTGACCTGAGTTTCCCCTGTCATCACCTGCTTTCGACTCGTTGTCGCCAGGCTGTTTGTTGCCTGTATCCCCCAGCCGATATTGTTACCAGACTGTGATTTACTTCCAGTGTTCCAGCCGACCTGGCTGCCTCCATGCTTGCTGCGAGTCTGACCGTTGCCCCAACCAGAATCCTTTTTCGCGCCAGATGTCCGTGTGCCGCCCGATACTCTTCTCCAAGCGGCTTCGCGGCTTCCAGTGGCAGTGTCTCGAACATTGTTGTCACCATCGGGCTCGGGGTTGCGGCGCTGACTCTCGGGCGTGGTCCATCCGGTGTGATCAGGGGTTCCTCGCTTGTTTTGCGCGTTCCAGTCATGCCTGCCAGCGGCTCTCGCTTCGGCTTCTTTCCACCAGCTCATATTGGCAAGGCCCTCGACACTCTTCGGTTCTTTATCACCGGGCCAGGCACCAGGGACGCTCTCCTGACTCGGGGTACCCCAACCCGGCTCGTTCTGGTCGCTGCGCGGATCTGGACCGCCCCGCACGTCACCGTTTGGCCGTTTCATGTGTCGATTTCGGTTCCCTTGTCTCTGCCGTAGCATGTCCGAGTAGCGCATCTCGCCCATTTCCCAGTCATCAGCTAGATTTTGGGGGCTCTGCTTGCCGTTGGCCCACAAGTCCTACTATTTAGTCAGCAGTTGTAACACGGCAGCTCGCTCGCTTTCGCTCACACCCACCGCTCCATCGCTCCAGTTTCCACGTTGATGCTGTGCGTTCTCGTCTCTACTCTGGGCGGCTTCCATCTTTATCTCGTTTCTTCTCCATGTATTGCCAAAGGCTTTGAAAGGGTCGACGTTCTGTGCTCAAGTGTCAGTCTGATCGTGTAACTCTGTACAATACTACGTGAGGATTGGAACATACCCCAGTGCGCGATTGCTGATACTGGTCATAGTACGGGGTTCCTTGTTGCGCTGGGCGCTGACCGCTCTGTGCCGCTGTCTTCCTCTCCGGGGAATGTCCTGAGCATCGTCTTTGTCGGCGAGTAATCCATTCAATCTGGCTTCCACGTCCGCAAGCTTCCGGAATAGGTCATCGGCATTGGCAGCATGAGCTTTTGGCGGGTACGGCTCTGACCGGACGCGGTTGTGCTGGAGGACTGGGTCACTGACAGTTAGTCCCTGCCGCCTCAAGCCTTCCTTGAGATCGTGACGGGCGCTCGCTCGCATACCCATGCTGTTGCGTGGAGGCAGTGACGGAGCCTGTGAGGGAGCCTGAGAAGGAGCTCGGGAAGGCTTGGCACTACCATGATAGTGGTTGTTGATGATGATAGGGACTTGACCAGCTTGACGCTCCAGAGTGTTTGTGGGACCGCTAGCCAACTCTTGTATCCGAGGTCTGCCCCCATTACGAGCTTCGTACGAAAATGGTTCGGCAAACGCAGGTCTTGCCCGGTCAGGCTCATAGCGAACATCGGGCCGAAAATCACCGCCGTACTCCGGACCTCGATAGTTCTGATTGCGAGCGTAAGGATCTAAGCCTTGCCCGTAGCCATAGGGGACACCGTCGAGGTTGTAGTCTGCAGCCCCGTCGAAGAGACCGAAAAATCCACCGATGCTACTCGCTGGTTTCTTTGACGATACTGCTTTTAAGGGAGCTTTCGAAGGCGCTTTAGATGGAGGAGTTTTAGGTTGAGCTGCTGACGGAGCTTTGGGGGTTACTTTCGGAGTCGTTTTTCGTACCAATCGGGTGATCAGAAGATTGGCTGGGGTTGGCTTGGGTAGAGCTGTGTCCGTAAGGCTAGAAGAGCGCACGTGAAGTGGGTTTTCTGATTTTTGCAGCGGAGAATGAGGACCTCGATTTTGCCGAGATTATTTAGGAACTGTTTGCTGACAGTGTCTGCTTTGTCCGGAGAGACTGCTAGTTTAGCCGAGTTTCATGGGTGCAGAGTTTGAAGACTTACCAAGGTTGAGCGGGTGAAAGCACCATTCTCTTCCAATGAACTCGCCACTGGGTTGTATTTCTTCCTTCTGACGGACTCGTAAATCGACCTGGTACGAACTTGGAGGAACGCCCTCTGCTGGTAACGGAAGATCGAGTCGACTCCGGTTACATTGGTACTGTCCGTCGATGAACACGAACATGGCCAAACCAGGGGCTATATAGCCTTCGGAAGTAAGGTGAATACTGAAGTGCATCTGCTCTTTCGGCACAGGGACGTAAGTGTTAACTTGAGCATCGTCATATTTGGTCCCGAACTCTCTCAGCTTGACGTTGTTCCCAGTAAGCTCCAGAGAGCATGTAAGATGATTGAGCTTAGGCATTCTTCAGACACTCATGAGCTCAGCGCGCGTTTGCTCAAAGGTTTGGAGAAGGCAGGCGTGTATGTTGAGCATCCGTCGAGGGGAGAAGTCACTGCTGATTGTGGCAGCCAGTGGGTCGGGAGGGATCCTTGTTGAGACGTAGATGGGTGACGCTCAGTTTTGGATGCGGCTTCTCGAGGCTCCGCTTCCGATTGCGGTCTTTGTTTGGTCGGTCTTCGATCCGCTGACCAAAGACGTCGATGGAGGGGCCGCTTATCGGCGCGTTGTGCTTCTTAGTAAAACGTCGCAGCGAGCCTACAGCTGTCGTTGACTCGACTTGCGTGACACTGGTTTCTCTTCCTCGGATGGACTATATCTTCTTTTCGTCCAGCAAACGACGCAACAGACGAGCATAAGTTGCAGTTCAATCCAGCTTGCGGAAATCGAAAGGTGGGATTCGCAATGTTGTGTTTGCGTGGAGTCTGCGCAGAGTCACGGAGTTAACAAGGCGCATGTGAATGGCGAAAGCTGATATTGCATACCTATCAACTTTCCGAGGAGCCGCCCTGCTGAACATTTGATGTGGACACAGCAAAGGATAGCACTCGGCGAAACAAAACCTCGTAGCATTGCAGCACATACACGGTTCCCATCATCTGCTCCGCACGCGTGACCCTAGTTCTTCACCTTGAGAAACCTAAGACGAATGCTTCAGTCAACCGTCAGATGCGCATAGAGTTCAGCTTGACGCAGAGGTAATTTGATCCATATAGTAATGTAACCGTGAACTGGTACTTGTTTCCTTTACAGTCGGATGCCTTACAGAATCGTCCGCCTCTAGTAGCACTACCATAAGCCTCCAATATGTGCTTCTGGTGGTTGATATTGCTTCCGTGATGCGTCGTTGCGCTGCGGATCTGCAATGATCGAACAGCCACAGATCTACTGCCTTGCTCGGAGCGTCTGAGCTGAGTACATCCCACAAAATATCCTCGCACTCGTTCTGGTATTCTGTGCTCAGTTGTCTAACCGTGTAACCATCTTCGTCATCCCAGCTCTTCTTGAATAGGTGTCTGGGCAAGCCTACATGTATCTAAACTGTAGATTTGAGCCTGCTGGCGATAATGATCCAACTTCAGCAACCACTGGAGGTCTGGTAACGGCATCATTGTCCTGCCGACAGAAGTGACGACATGATGTTCTGTATATGTGCAGTACAAAGTGCAAGTTTCTTGACCCAAAGATCTACGCTAAAGCGCTGACTAATCATCCGTACTTCACTTCTGATGCGCTTCCGTTTTACTCCCTTTGCGACGACATGAACTTCACGATGATGTCTGGACTTGCGGGTACTTTACTCCCAGCAACGCACACACAAGCTTTCGGTTGGCAACCATAAGATATCGTGCTCCTTGATGCCTCCATGCCGTCTCTTTGATCGTTCCAATCATAGTAGAGTATCCCAGGCACCAGCATCTCCATTGATTTAACGCGAAGCGCTCACGCTCTTTGCAATCTAATGAGGAGCATGATTTCGGAACCATCTATAAGCAACGGCAAAAACACTACACAAGGGTTAAGGTGGCGCCGGCAGGATCGAAGACTGCATCCCCGCAAGAAGCTCCAACCAGAACTGGCGAGCAGCGGATGTCCTACCGGCTGGACTACAGCACCCGATACTGACCTCAGCTATTGTCGTACATTTGTTGGGTCTTACCGTCTGGGATACGGCTAGACAAGCAGGGACAAGCTAATGGTGGTCAAGGGGGACAGACATTCGGAATACGTAGCTATTCGAATTTGTTAGTTTGTGAATGTGTCGTGTGATGTGTCTCAGGTTTGGAAAGAGCGTCCAGGATTTCCGTGTTTTTGCGGACCGAAAGTACCGACGCGCCTTCCCGACATGGTCATGAGAACGCCTTTCTTTCCTGATATTAACTCAAGCACAGCTCGTCCGCTGTAGCCCACTAAACTTCTGTTCCGGCAAGGATATCAAGCCTGTCATCTCCTTATACACTCCTGCTCGGCGAAACCTGCACGGCCCTTACGTCTCGCATCTTCGTGTCACTCTCTCCTCCCATCACCACAATCGTTTCATCGTTCAGTCCTCCTCACGAGGTTATTCGTTGCGACCGGATAGGTGACGCTTGCTGCACAACAAGCCGCAGACCAGCCCAAGCCTTCGAGATCACCGCAAGCACAGAGCGAACCGTCGCTTTACAAAGCTCCGTAATCGGTCCAGCAAACTCCGCGGTGATTGACTGTTCCCAGACGCCTTCCCGAACGACACCCACTTACTTTTACTTTCGATCCTGCGCCCTCGTCGACTTTCACGACTGTGGCTGTCTACGTCATCAAAACACATACGATTTCGACACAGTCTAGTGAACCAGGACCTTTGAACACACTACTAGACGATCCAGGACACTGTACCACAAAGGCATGCTTCCTCTGCTGTTAGGCTGATCCTCACTTGATCTTGTACCGATTCCCCTTTCCCGGGCCGATTCTGACTGCAGCGCGAGCGTAAAACATGGACATGGCGTATCACCAAGCTCTCCTCGAAGTGAGCGTCAGAAAACGCCTATGCGAAGCCCACATACTTCTGCAAGGGTTATTCAAGCACATTGAGCGCATGAAAGATGCCGCACGCCGCCGTGATCTTGATCCTTGCTCAGTAAAGAACATAAAGCGACTGCACAGCTATGCCAGCAAGACGATCGACCACTACTGCGATCTTCAAAAACATGCTAGTTGGGTAGAGCAATCGTATTTAGCGCTGCCGATGCAACATCGGAACGCTCTCAGCAGACAGCGAACAGCTTTTAGGAAGGCCTACAACATAGAGGGCATGTACCCACCCGCCTGCGGATACCGCTGTCCGTACCCCTCAGAGACAGCTCGCCGTCCAGTGTTCCGCCCCGATGAGTCGGACTTTTGGCTTCCAATTATTGCCGGTATGCCGTACGAAATCGTCAGGTCTGGTCCTGGAACCATCAAAGCCCTAGTGCGAGCGGATATGCCCGAAGAAGTTGAGAGGTGCCACTGGAACAACGATGTTATCACAGGCGTGGCGGAGGAAACGCCGGAAGAAGCAGAACGACTGAAGAAGCTCAACATCAACGTTGGGAACCAAACCAACCTTGACGATGGTGATCGCAGGATCTACAGGCTTCGACCGGCAGTCATGAATCCCCAAAGAGCCGCGCCAGGCTGGCGACTTGACGCGGCCACCTGGCGGAACGGAGACCAAAACCTCATGGAAGCTGACCGGAAGCTCGCTCGTCGACACAATGTTCTGGTCAGACAAGCATCCCAACCATCCGGAAAACTGCAGGTGAACAGATCAGAAGTCAAACTAACCAAGCAACGCGCTAACGCCGTTGCCGACCACCACCAAGCGTACAAGAACGTGAGTATCAAAGAGAAATCCAACCAGCCAGTCGAACCACCTCACCATCCACCTCGGCGTCGTTCAATCTTGCAGAAGCGACTTGACGAAGAGGATCACAAGGGTATGGCACCATCCACAGAAAAGTCCGAACAACCAGGGGCGTCTGCATGTGCGTCAATAGCCCTGAATTAGTGACCTGACGAAGAACGAATACTGTCTCACGACATTCAGAACCCTTTCACCGAGCAAGCACTCTTCTTCCACCACTAAACTCGGTCCGAAAACAAGCGAGAGTACCCTGCTTGGAGGTAGCACCACGGATCACAAGAGCATCCTGAGCGTAACAGATCATACAACATGAGTGTTCCCGGGCTATGTTACGGTCTGCACAGCAGAGGGGTGATTAGTGTATACGAAAGCTCTCTACATCTCCTACAAACTAGGTATCTCCCAACCCCAATGCTTCTCCTACAGTTTGGGCCCGATCCTCTTCATGTCCACGTCCTTCTCACCTAATTCCCAGCCTTTGCCCCGGAACCGCTTAGGCCAGATGCCGTTGCGACCAGGCGCCATGATGCCGTTGGGGTCAAGACTGTCCTTGATTGTCTCGTTGAACCGCATCAGGGCCTGGTTGTTCCAGCCGTATGTGCGAGCGACCTATGGCGACGGTCAGTAAAAGGGTTACGATGCGTATGAAAACTCCGCCACGGGTAGTTCGTCAAGCATGAAGGTGAATATTGCTACTGACCTGATCCGCAAACAGGAGGTGCGTCCTGTACTCGCCATAACCCTCGGCAGCGCACTGGGCGATGAGTTCACGCATGAGCTTGACGGCGCGTTCCTTTTGTGACGGGTCCGCGCGGTCGAAGATGATGTTCGTTATGTAATGGATTTCGCGTCCGGCCACACACAGCGTCGGGAACAGGTCGAAGCCGTACTTCTCATGGCCCTTTCTTACGATTTCGTGGATCACGCGCGCATCCTTTCCTCGCGTGGGTGCGATGGGCGAGAAGAACAGGTGCGCGGCGTTGGGCAGCCAGTTCAACCAATCTAGTTCCCGTAGCACGGGGACCCCGCTGCAGACCTGCACCCGGCTGTGCAGGTAGTGATCCTCGGGCACGTCTTTGGGCAGGAAGAGCTTGGAGCCAGGGATCTTGCCGAAGGACTCCTGGATCACTCTCATCTGCGCGGCGATGGAGTCGGGCGGCCCGTACTGCGTGCCGTAGAACACCCAGGCGCAGTCGCCCAGCGGCAGCGTCTTGGCCGCCTCGCGGATCTCTTCGCGGGTCATGGGCGTCGGAGACGAGTGGAACGTGTGCTTGCGTCGTCCCGTCACATTCAACTCTTGAATGATGTATCTCAGCTGCGGGATGTTGCCAAGTATACGCTGTTGCGCCAGGGGTCTGATGAGGTCCACGATCTCTTCAAAGTCGTCGTCGCGTGGGAAGGTGTAGCAGTAGCTCTGATGTGGCGTGTCAGGCATCAACCAGAAGCCCATCTTGGTCACGATGCCGAAGTTGCTCTGGCTGAAGATGCCGTCGACATAGGGGCCGAAGGCGGGCTGGAAGGACTGCCAGGTCGGGTTATCGGAGCCGTCCTTGCCGGGCATGGCGCCCATGCCAGTGCGCAACAGCTCGCCAGAGGGCAAGACGACTTCCATGCCGCAGTGGTTCGCGAAATGGTCGCCGTATGGTGTATAACCTACCCCGCGGTCGATGGCGTTGCCGAGCACGCTGCCACCGCCTAGATCGGGACAGTCGATCCAGAGCGCGAGGTTGCGTTTCTGGATCTCTTCGTAGAGGGCAAAGTATGTGACACCCGGCTCGACTACACAGCTGGCGTTGTCACCGTCGATCTTGAGCACTTTACTCATCCGCCTGCCGAGATCAACGACCACGCCACCGGGCACACGTGGAGCGGCACCACCGTAGCCGACGTTGCGGCCCAACGAGATCGGGTACACTGGGATGGAGTGCTTGTTCGCCCATCTCACGACTGCTTGGACCTCTTCGGTAGAGCCGGGAAAGACGACGGCACTGCTGACGAGTTCTTCCTGCTCAACGACGTGGAAGGCGTCGTGTGTGTTGGGGTGCTCCAGATACCAGCCATCTACTAACGCCTTATCGCTGACCTCGACGTTCTCGTCGCCGAGTGTACCTTTAAGCTCCTTGATGGCGGCGTCGAAGGCTTCTTGCGTAGTGTCAGGCGGTAGTCTGACACCATTCTTGCGTGGCCGGCTGGCAGGTTGTGTCCTGTTGCCGTAGAGTCTTGCCCGAGCAGCTGCGGCCTCCTTGGTCAGTCTTGACGGGACACCGCTGTACTTTTCGGTCAGTAGCGGCGTGGGAGCGAACTCCGGCGGCTGTGCCATGATTGTATTGTGGTATGAAGTGTAGAGTAGGTTCGGTAGATGCCAGAGAGGGTGTGTAGGAAAGGCAATGGGTTGAAATCTCTTAGTAGGGTTAACAGAGGCCAGAGACAAGAGGAGTGAGATGGATAGAAAACCAAAAGACTTCTGCAACTTAAAGAAAGATAGCTTCCAAGAGTGGCAAAGGCAGCGGCCTCTTTCCGTCGCGGTACGCAACAAGAGGAGGCCACCATCGACCGTGCTTTCGGGGATCCCCTTAAAGTGTGTTGATCGCTTGCGGACCTGCATGCGCCATGGCGAGCCGCATTCGGCAAATACCGTCTTGACGAACTGTCGGTTATATGTTAATATACAGATACCCATGGAAAGTTCTTCGAAGGAGGCAACCAAGTACAATGCAGAACGTCTGTGCGAGAGGTAATCAAGAAACGCATGCTTGGAGATGCGGGATAGGTGTTGCAGCAGAGAGATGGAGGGACGAGCTGAGGTCCCAAGCGTTCGCCAAGAGCTAAGACTCCCCACGGAGACTCCCCTCGACCCCACCCACTCCGCACCCTGACTCGTGTCGCCTGAGATCCGCCGCATAAACCCCATCACGACTCGACAATCACCAGCATGCGGAAGGCCGCCGCGCACGCCTCTAGAAACCACATGCCAGAGGTGGGGGCGGGACATTATGTACCTCTGCACCGCCTGCTGTAATGTACGTCTCGCCTTGCGGAGCATCAGCTACTGTGAATAAAGTACCTAACGATAACAACATATACCTTCTACAAAAAGATTCTGTAAGCTCCCATCTGCACCATGGCTGCCAGTGAAGCATCCTCAGAAAGGCCTTTGAAAGGTATGTAGATCTCCAAACATCTCGGATGTCGAGAAAACACAGAACGGAACGAAAAGCACGTCACCAACATT